GCTTTTGATCGCGTGCCGATTGGGTTTGTTTTGCGGGTCCTGGAGAGGTTTGGTTTCCCGCCCCAGTTTGTGGGCTGGATACGGATGTTGTATGCTGGTTGTAGTAGTAGGGTGTGTGTCAATGGGTTCCTTAGTGCTCCCTTCGCTCTTCGGCGTTCGGTTCGACAGGGGTGTCCTCTGTCGATGCTTCTATATATTCTGTTTCAGGAGCCCTTTGTTCGCGCAGTGCGTGCTTGTCGTTCAGTTGTCTCGCCGTGTTTGCCGAATGGCTTGTCCCTCAAGATTTGTGGTTATGCGGACGACACAGTCTTGTTTGTTGCCTCTGAGGGTTCTGTGCCTGCTGTTCAGGATTTGGTTTTTCATTTTGAATCGGCTACAGGGGCTTTGGTCAATCGTGGAAAGTCTTGTCTTCTGGGGTTGGGGGGTTGGGCCTCTCGTTTGGTGTGGTCTGGTTCGTGGTTTCCGGTGGTTCAGTCCATTCGGGTTCTGGGGATTACGTGGTTTAGGTCGTATGTGCAGTCTTTGGAGTTTAATTGGGAGGCAGTTTCGCGGGGGGGGGGCGTAGCTGTGGGGATGTTGTCGCAACGGGCCCTGACTATTTACCAGCGGGCGATTGTCGTGTCTTGTAAGGTTTTGTCGCGGGTCTGGTTTGTTGAGCAGTGTTTTCCGTTGGATCGGCGGAAGGCTCGCGCTCTGGAGGGTTTGGTGTATCGTTATGTGTGGTGTGGCCGGTATCATCCGGTTCGTCGATCTACGTTATGTCTTAAGGTGTCAGAAGGTGGAATTGGTATTCCTGATGTCTATGTGAGGGCGTTGGCTTTGTTTTGGGGGTCGGTGCGGAGGAGTTTGGTGTTAGGGGGTGGGTTAAACTCCTTGGGGTTGTTTTACTGCTCTATGAGGTTTAGTTTTTTGCTTGATCTGGATCGTTGCCAGGAGGTGGCCATGTATACGCCTCCAGTGTATTCGTGGGCGGTTTTGATCCTTCGGGCGCTTTGTCGCTTTCATGGGTTTGTCTCTTTTGGTTGTCGGGAGGTGTATGGGGCGCTTGCCTCTCGGGTGCCTCCCAGGGTTGAAAGTTTGTACCCTTGTTTCGACTGGGGGAATGTGTGGGAGGCGTTGAGTGGGCCGTGTATTGCGCCACGGACGCGTGAGTTGGTTTTTCGATATTTGCATGAGTCTTTGGCTACGAATGCAAGGCTCTTTATGTTGGGTTTGGTCGCCTCTGATGGTTGTGTTCATTGTGGGAGACGTGAGACTCAGTTGCACGTCTTTTATTTTTGTGCGCGGGTTCAGGGTTTGGTTGGGTGGTTGCGGGATGTCATTGCAGCCTTTTGTGGTCCAGGGGTGCAGGTCGACCTATTGCGGTTTTTGTTTTTTTTCGTTTCCTCGGGGCTCCAGGCGGGTGCGTAACACGCTCGGGGTGTGTTAGCAGACTATATTTTTTGTTTATGGGTTGGTAGGATGGAGGGGTATGGGGTGGGGAGGATTTTGGGCTTTTTGAAAGGCCGTCTGTCTTATACTATGTGGTGGTTGCGTCGCTCCTTTCCTAGGGTTTTTGATGCTTGGTTCACGGTCGAGTATGTCCGGGGTGCTGCGTTGGTGTAGGTGGTGGGTTCCTGTGGGTGTGGTTGTGTGTGTGTGTGTGCGTGTTCCTTTGGTTCGGTTCCCTCTGGTGGGTGGGGGTTTGGGGGGTCTGTGTTTGTTTGTCTTTGGGGTTTGTGTGTACTGGGGTTTGCTTGGTTACCTTGTGTGGCAGGATTTTGTTTGTGTGTGGGTGGGTATGGGTGTGTTGTGGTGTTGTGTGGCATGTCTGTCTCTCTCCTGATGTGTCCGGTGTGTGGGTGTTTTTTCTTTCTGCTTGGTGGCTGGCCGTCCTCTGTCTGTGGGGGTCTGGGTTGTGTGCTGGGTGGCTGTGTTTGTTTCGTGTGTGTTCCATTGTTGTGTGTTTTTGTATGCTTGTGTTTGTCATTTTGTCTTGTTGCCATGTGTTATGTGCTTTTCCTTATGGTTCCTGTTGGCACACCCCGTATGGGTGGCATGTGTTGTTTGTTTGTGTGTTTATGTTTTTTTTTACACTTTTTTCTGTTATCTGTGTCATTTTACTGTGTTATATGTTCCAATGTCGGTTTGTACTATACCGATTCCTTTCTTTTTTACTGTGTTATTTTACTATGTAATGCTAATGTGTTCTGTTTCCTTTATTTTATGTACTGTGCTGTGTTTGCTTTGTTGTATTCCATTGTTATTTTCCTGCATTTCCTTACTGTGTTGTATTTACAGTGTTATATTGACATGTTTGTTATTGTGTTTATTGACATGTTTGTTATGGTGTGTTGTCGGCTGTTGTGTGGTGTGGCGCATGGTGCGTGTGTTTTGCGTTTGTGTTATTTTTGTATGTGTTTCTTGTATGTGTATTCCTGTTTATACTTTACCCTTGGTTTTATTGTGCTCCTAGAGCGCTTTTGTTATTACTGACGCTTTTGGCACGCCCCGTCTGGGTAGTGCTGCTTTTGTTTTTGTGTGTGTGTGTTCTTATGTGTTTTATGTTATTCTTTGTTTACACTTTTGTGTTGGTCTGTGTTACTTGTTATCTGTGTTGTTGTTATTCTCTGTTCTTCGTTATTCTGTGCTTTCCTGTTTATATGGTTACTATACGCTGTACTTGCTCTGTTTTAAAAAAAAAAAAAAAAAAAAAAAAAAAAAAAAAAAAAAAAAAAAAAAAAAAAAAAAAAAAAAAAAAAAAACTACACGGGCCAGAACCGAACCCGTCCAATACCTGAACCACCGTCTCTTGACCAACCCTAGCTGGTAAAACAGAAATACAACAGTTGTATGATATCCACCTAATACAATGACAATGACATACTATAACCTTACATGGTAACTGAATCTCATTTAATGCATGATAATGATAACAAATAATATAAAATCAAGTTAACAAAATCACTGAGAGGGCAAAAAATAGAATCCAGGTTAATTCCCGAGTCAAAACATCCCTCCACCTCCTGGAGAAAAAAATGGAATTAACTGAAGATTAATTACAGCTTTGCTTATTTAAGTATAGAATTTAGTACTGATGGTACAAGTATATCATATAATAAATATTGACAGTGAACTTCCAAATTACACAAAAGTAATGTCATAAACTGGTAAAGTGTATAAAGTATATAAATCTTAAATTTACAAGTAAATCAAAACAATTTAATTGCATCAGATAATAATGCTTGAGATAAGAATAATATGCACAATAGTAATAATATGAATAATAATACATGACAGGTTGACAGTACATAATGAAAAAGCAATATGATGAGTAATGTACATGACAAAACGTTCACATAGGAATAAAATACATAATAATCACAATAACATGACAAGATGAAACTCAAGTGGAAATTCTCATGTATAAAACAAAATTATTTATTGAATCCTCTTACTTCAGGGTACATATGTTGGAACTCTTCGAGACAAATCATTTATAATAACATTCGGCCTTCCAGGGATATGATGAATTTCTAAACTAAATTAATGACCACCGTAAAATTCTCTGATTATTAAATTTCCACTTATTAGTGAATACTAAAAGATCTTTAAATACTACAGCTTTATTACCTAATAAAATAGTTTCAAATTTATTATGGGCTAATATTAAACAAAGTGCTTCTTTCCCAAAACAGTAATTCCTCTGCGCTTTATTAAATGTGTGGGAAAAATAATACACTGTGTGTTCCTCAGTATCAGATCCCACTTGAAAAAGCACTACTCCATCCCCTAGGTCAGAAGTATTATTATGAATAAGATATAGTCTGTCATATTGGGGACTGGTTAACACAAGTGACGTTGAAAGAATCCCCTTCAAACTCTGAAAAGATGTTTGATACTCTTGGATCCACATAAATTTTGCCGCTTTGTGTATAAGATTTTTCAAAGGTGCAGCTACTAATGGGAATTTTTTTTACAGTATCTGTGATGGTTGGCAGACATTCTTATAAGCCTCTGGACCTCCATTTTGCTCGTCAGTACTGGATACTCCATTATGGCTTGGATCTTATCCTGTAGCGGTAGTGTTTTTCCTTTATGCTATCTCATGACCCAGAGAGCCTATAGTACCCTCGGCCCAGCTACATGGTGAGAATATCTCTTTTTAATACCTGAATTTTTTTTCTTAACCCAGACACATGGTCTTCCCAACACTTACTGTAAAGCACAATTTCATACAGATATGCGCTGCAATTAGGAACATCCATTAACACAGAATTCAATAATTTCGGAAAAGTAGCAGGGACGTTTTTCAGACCAAACGGCAGAATATTAAACTAATAAGCCCCGACTGTGTTATAAAAGCAGTTACTTCTATCTTACGTTCTGTCAGAGGTACTTGAAGTTAACTCTTGGAGAGGTCGCGTGTGGACCCAAATTGGGCATGGCCAATCTGGTCGATGCACTCTTGCAACAAAGAACAAAGGTAAGGGAAACTTCAACCAACGGTGCATTGTTTTGTCTTCAACAGTCGATGCAGAGCTGCCACGTACCACAAGACTTTGGTAGCAGCACACACGAGGAACTCCAAGAGCTCTGACTGGGACGGGTAAACCCATGTTGTAGTAGAAGTTCTACTTCCCGTTGAATGATAACCCACATCTCTGGGGTCACCCTGTGAGGATGAGGGCGAATAGGGGTAGAGTCGAGGCGTTGTACATCATGGCTGATCAGATTAGTTTTGGGAGGTACGTCCCCAAACATGCTGACATACTCCTCTAACAGGAGCTGGAACTCGTTACGTTGGTCGTCCTGCAAATAACATAACTGCTCCGGAACTGGAATTAGAAGGAGGATTAGCAACTTCCTCTATACCGGAAATCATACATACCATAACCACCAATAATGGCACCATAGCCACCAATAATGGCACCATAGCCACCAATAATGGCACCATAGCCACCAATAATGGCACCATAACCACCAAAGGATGGCACCATAGCCACCAATAATGGCACCACTTAGCCACCAATAATGGCACCATAACCACCAATAATGGCACCATAGCCACCAATAATGGCACCATAACCACCAATAATGGCACCATAACCACCAATAATGGCACCATAACCACCAATAATGGCACCATAGCCACCAATAATGGCACCATAGCCACCAATAATGGCACCATAGCCACCAATAATGGCACCATAGCCACCAATAATGGCACCATAGCCACCAATAATGGCACCATAGTCACCAATAATGGCACCATAGCCACCAATAATGGCACCATAGCCACCAATAATGGCACCATAGCCACCAATAATGGCACCATAACCCACCAATAATGGCACCATAACCACCAATAATGGCACCATAGCCACCAATAATGGCACCATAGCCACCAATAATGGCACCATAGCCACCAATAATGGCACCATAGCACCATAACCACCAATAATGGCACCATAACCACCAATAATGGCACCATAGCCACCAATAATGGCACCATAGCCACCAATAATGGCACCATAGCCACCAATAATGGCACCATAGCCACCCACCATAGCCACCAATAATGGCACCATAGCCACCAATAATGGCACCATAACCACCAATAATGGCACCACCACCAATAATGGCACCATAGCCACCAATAATGGCACCATAGCCACCAATAATGGCACCATAGCCACCAATAATGGCACCATAACCACCAATAATGGCACCATAGCCACCAATAATGGCACCATAACCACCAATAATGGCACCATAACCACCAATAATGGGCACCACCAATAATGGCACCATAACCACCAATAATGGCACCATAGCCACCAATAATGGCACCATAACCACCAATAATGGCACCATAACCACCAATAATGGCACCATAGCCACCAATAATGGCACCATAGCCACCAATAATGGCACCATAACCACCAATAATGGCACCATAGCCACCAATAATGGCACCATAACCACCAATAATGGCACCATAACCACCAATAATGGCACCATAACCACCAATAATGGCACCATAACCACCAATAATGGCACCATAGCCACCAATAATGGCACCATAACCACCAATAATGGCACCATAACCACCAATAATGGCACCATAACCACCAATAATGGCACCATAGCCACCAATAATGGCACCATAACCACCAATAATGGCACCATAACCACCAATAATGGCACCATAACCACCAATAATGGCACCATAACCACCAATAATGGCACCATAACCACCAATAATGGCACCATAACCACCAATAATGGCACCATAACCACCAATAATGGCACCATAACCACCAATAATGGCACCATAACCACCAATAATGGCACCATAACCACCAATAATGGCACCATAACCACCATAATGGCCACCAATAATGGCACCATAACCACCAATAAGCACCATAACCACCAATAATGGCACCATAACCACCAATAATGGCACCATAACCACCAATAATGGCACCATAACCACCAATAATGGCACCATAACCACCAATAATGGCACCATAGCCACCAATAATGGCACCATAGCCACCAATAATGGCACCATAACCACCAATAATGGCACCATAGCCACCAATAATGGCACCATAACCACCAATAATGGCACCATAGCCACCAATAATGGCACCATAGCCACCAATAATGGCACCAAACCTTCTCGGAAAGGCTTGGTGCATTCTTTTGATAATTACTTACTAGCCATTCACGTTTTCTTTACGTGGGTCGCTGAACAATGTTAGGTTAGTTTGAGCTAAGTTAGAATAGGCTAGGCTAGGTTAGTTTGAGCTAGGTTATAATAGGCTAGGTTAAGTTAGTTTGAGCTAGGTTATGATAGGATAGGCTAGGTTAAGTTAGGTTAGTTTGGGCTAGGTTAGGATAGGCTAGGCTACGCTAGGCTAGGTTAGTTTCAGCTAGGTTAAGATAGGCTTGGCTAGGTTAATTTGAGCTTGGTTATGATAGGCTAGGCTAGGTTAGTTTGAGCTTGGTTATGATAGGTTAGGCTAGGTTAAGTTAGGTTAGTTTGAGCTAGGTTAGGATAGGCTAGGCTAGATTAGGTTGTTTCGTACCGCATTTTCTATCCATTGTGGCAACCTGAGACGACCGGCTGGATTATAATTATATATTGTAGTGGACATGTTGTTCAGTTCACTCCAATTACACTTTGTGTGACGCCTTGAATTATGTGACGTTTTGCGACACCAATTCTCTGGTGAGGGTAAGATGTGCGGGCGACTCCCAGCGTGACGGAGCCTCAGCACCAGCACCGACCATGGCACTAATACACCACGCTGGTCCAACTCTTATCCAAACACCTGCCGGCAAGGTGGGGCCCTCGACTGGTCTATGGCCAGCAAAATATTCGGTGCGTTTGTGGTTGGTGTGTGAGGGAAGGTGGCGGCCTCCAGCATGTTGTGTGGTGGAAGGTGGCGGCCTCCAGCATGTTGTGTGGTGGAAGGTGGCGGCCTCCAGCATGTTGTGTGGTGGAAGGTGGCGGCCTCCAGCATGTTGTGTGGGGGAAGGTGGCGGCCTCCAGCATGTTGTGTGGTGGAAGGTGGCGGCCTCCAGCATGTTGTGCGGTGGAAGGTGGCGGCCTCCAGCATGTTGTGTGGTGGAAGGTGGCGGCCTCCAGCGTGTTGTGTGGTGGAAGGTGGCGGCCTCCAGCATGTTGTGTGGTGGAAGGTGGCGGCCTCCAGCATGGTGTGTGGTGGAAGGTGGCGGCCTCCAGCATGTTGTGTGGTGGAAGGTGGCGGCCTCCAGCATGTTGTGTGGTGGAAGGTGGCGGCCTCCAGCATGTTGTGTGGTGGAAGGTGGCGGCCTCCAGCATGGTGTGTGGTGGAAGGTGGCGGCCTCCAGCATGGTGTGTGGTGGAAGGTGGCGGCCTCCAGCATGTTGTGTGGTGGAAGGTGGCGGCCTCCAGCATGGTGTGTGGTGGAAGGTGGCGGCCTCCAGCAGGTGGCGGCCTCCAGGTGTGTGGTGGAAGGTGGCGGCCTCCAGCATGTTGTGTGGTGGAAGGTGGCGGCCTCCAGCGTGTTGTGTGGTGGAAGGTGGCGGCCTCCAGCAGCATGTTGTGTGGTGGAAGGTGGCGGCCTCCAGCATGTTGTGTGGTGGAAGGTGGCGGCCTCCAGCATGTTGTGTGGTGGAAGGTGGCGGCCTGTGTGGTGGAAGGTGGCGGCCTCCAGCATGTGTGTGTGGCGGCCTCCAGCATGTGGAACCTCCAGCATGGTGTGTGGTGGAAGGTGGCGGCCTCCAGCAGACCGTGTTGTGTGGTGGAGCCTTGCCAGGTGGCGGTCACCAGCATGTTGTGTGGTAGGTGGCGGCCTCCACAGAATAAATTTGCACAAGGTGGCGGCCTCCAGCATGTTGTGTGGTGGAAGGTGGCGGAGGTGTTGTGTGGTGGAAGGTGGCGGCCTCCAGCATGTTGTGTGGTGATGTACCTCATGCCAGACCTGGAGCCTTGCCACGTCACCACTTAGCTCACAGAATAAATTTGCACAATTAGCCGAGGTGTTTTGTTAGCGGGGGGGGGGGTTTAGGAGAGGGGGGGCTGGGGTGAGGGAGGCTCTGTGAGTGGCTAGAAAAGGACGCAAGGAGGGGGGGGGGCTAGTATTGGGGGGTTAGTGATGAGGGAGGGAGGGAGGGGGCTTGGTCTGCAGAGTGGGGGTAGGTTGCAAGGTCCGGGGGGGTGGGGTTAAGAGAGGTGTCGCACAGAGGTGCTTGATCACCCACTTTGCTAAATACGTATAAGGAATTACTCTTGCAAGATTGCAGATAAGTTTATACACTCAGACAAGGCTCTGGGTGAGCGCGCGCGCGCACCACACCAGACCAAGACACTGCCAGTAATGCCTTCAGCTCTACCAGAAAATGTCTTTCCATTCCATCCTTTGAATTAAATCTTAGTCGTCCCTAGTGTAGGCTGTAACAGGGGGCCCGGTAGGGCCCCCTGTTACAGCCTACACGAGGGCCGACCACGGCGTGAGGGCCGGACACCCACCCCGATGTCCTAAGATTTCCCAACGTCAAGAAACAGTCGTACTAATGTGCCTTATCCTAACCTACCAGAGGACCGAAAACAGAAAACGGGTAATATGTCAATTTTGCGAGTCGCTGCTAATGTTCTAGTACGACGACTTTTAGCCATAGGGAGAGTATACGTCAAAATGCGATGCTGTGTTAGGACGGGTTGCTCACCCTCCTGAGCGGCCTAAACGTCATTTAACTGTCGTACTAAATTGCCCGAGGATCCAAGAACGAAAAATGGGACAGACGGATGAGTTTAGGCAACGTTTCCTTTCTCTTGATGCTTTGGTTCACTTATCTATAAATTGGTACCTGAGAGTTAGGCAGTTGTTAGGAAACTTCCTGGGAAAGGTCAGGCGTTGTTCAAGGGTTGGGGGGAGGGGCTAATAGGCTCTTATCCCCTGAGAAGTGAAACCATGAGGTGAGGCAGGGCACGGTGGGCGGCCAATTGTAGCTCCAGACTCTCAAACACAAGACGCCTTCACAATACAATAAAGCTTGTCCTCCTAACCTAGCCTAGCCTAATCTAGCTTAGCCTAACTTAGCTTAACCTAATCTAAACTAGGTTAACCTAATGTAACCCAGCCTAGCCTAATCTAACTAAAGCTAGCCTAGCGTAGGTTAAAATAACCTAACATAGCCTATGGTAACCTAAAATAAAACCTCAACAATGGTGAGAAATACTGGACAGGTTTTGAGGCCTCTCCCGCTATGAGCGTCAATTAACACCTCACAATTAAAAGGCCTAAATATATTAGGGATGGCAGCATACTCCCCGGCCCTCACGCGCACAATATTAGGGATGTCAGCATACTCCCCGGCCCTCACACACACAATATTAGGGATGTCAGCATACTCCCCGGCCCTCACGCACACAATATTAGGGATGGCAGCATACTCCCCGGCCCTCACGCACACAATATCAGAGATGGCAGCATACTCCCCGGCCCTCACGCACACAATATCAGAGATGGCAGCATACTCCCCGGCCCTCACGCACACAATATTATGGCAGCATAGCATACTCCCCGGCCCTCACGCACACAATATCAGAGATGGCAGCATACTCCCCGGCCCTCACGCACACAATATCAGAGATGGCTCTCAGCATACTCCCCGGCCCTCACGCACACATATATCAGAGATGGCAGCATACTCCCCGGCCCTCACGCACACAATATCAGAGATGGTCAGCATACTCCCCGGCCCTCACGCACACAATATCAGAGATGGCAGCATACTCCCCGGCCCTCACGCACACAATATCAGAGATGGCAGCATACTCCCCGGCCCTCACGCACACAATATCAGAGATGTCAGCATACTCCCCGGCCCTCACGCACACAATATCAGAGATGGTCAGCATACTCCCCGGCCCTCACGCACACAATATCAGAGATGGCAGCATACTCCCCAGCATACTCCCCGGCCCTCACGCACACAATATCAGAGATGGCAGCATACTCCCCAGGCCCTCACGCACACACACAGCATATCACGAGATGTCAGCATAGCATATCTCCTCCCCGGCCCTCACGCACACAATATAGGGATGTCAGCATAGAGCCCTCACACACACAATATCAGATATGGCAGCATACTCCCCGGCCCTTCACGCACACAATATCAGAGATGGTAGCATACTCCCCGGCCCTCACGCACACAATATATCAGCCCTCACGATAGGGATGTCAGCATACTCCCCGGCCCTCACACACACAAT